GAAATTAATAGAAAAGTTCGAATGTCTGTGTTGGATGTGGTGCATATGATTATTTGTGTGTGTGCTTGTGTGTAAGTGTGTGCTTGTGTGTATGTGTGTGCTTGTGTGTATGTGTGTGCTTGTGCATGTGTGTATGTGTATGCAAGATTTATTGAATAATCAGAAAAATAATTTTTGAATTGAAACGTCTCAGAATTTTTTTGCAAGTGCAACTACTACTATCACCCTTAATACTACTTCTACTACTACTACCACCACTACTACTACTACTAATACTACTACTACTACTGCTGCTGCTGCTTCTGCTGCCTCTCCTGCTGCTGCTGCTGTTACTTCTACTACTACCGTTTTACTCTATATACTGTTTAACAGTTAATGATGTTTTATTACCGCTGTCATTAATAATGCCGATTTTAATTATTAATATATATTATTAATGTTATTATTATTAGGTTTATTATTATTATTATTAAAAATTTGAAACATGGATTGCCATCGTGTTCCTTGATTTTATTAGAATCCAGGTAAGAAATTTACACACAGCAAATTATAAACACAGCAAATTTACAAAATCTATGAACCATTTTGTTTTCATAAAATGTAGCACTAACAAAATTTCCAATTTGATGTTTAACTGACAGCTTAGTCACAAACCAGCATATCTTTAACCGCTGATAATTTAAAATGTCCCTGACAGATATTTTCAACTGTTATTCAACTGGAATCTGATACAGTTGTGCCTGCAGATGTGCTTACAGATGAGCCGGTTGTGATTTTGCTTGAATCATCTCTCAATCGTCTTAGCATAAAAAGTAAACAGCAAGTTAGAAGAGCAAGCAGCAGCAGCAAGACTAACACAAATATTATGGTTCTACTCGTGTCTGAAGAGCTACTCAGTGATCTCTCTTTGTTTTTCTCAGTGGTTGGCAATTTATGGCAGTGGATGACAGTTGAAATTTTTTTTTTCTCTTCTGAGCACGGTTTCATTCCACACCTCCCGTTGAAAAGATCGCATCCAGCCTCGAATACTTCCAACTCAGCAAGTGCAGTGCTGGATCGATTCGAACGTGAGCTTTGATCGTTCATTTTTTCATCAGATGGTTGAATGAATACGAATCTTGTGAGGATAGTGAAGTTCTCACAAACGACAATCATGGGGTTTCCGCCCTGTATTGCTTTTTCTGGTCCGTACCCGCACAAGTTGACTTTGTCTCTGATGTCTTCTCTATTACTCACATCGAATGTTTCGTTCAACCTTACAACAAACTTGTCCATTCTTAATAACATTTCAGGCAATTGACTTATTCTGTTGTATGCTCTGATGAATCCTACGCAATATAAACTGAGCAGGTCGACCGCCATCCAGGCTGGCATGGCATCATCAAGGTGGGATATGCGGTAGCCGTCATAGTTGCCGTCTGTTAAATGTATTTTGTAATGTGAACATATTTCGGAGTTGTCGTGTTCGAAAAGGTGTGAACTGTAATAAGGAGGTTTATGCAATGCTAAATTCTTCCTGAAAACCTCACATTGGTACCATTTGTTTCTGACCTTACCAGGGGGACAGACGCATTCAACGTACTTATTACCATTCACCGTGGACTCAATACATTCCATTCCAACGGGACAATCTCCTCCACCTGATGAGCAATCTCTTTCTCTGCATGAATCACCTCTCCATCCCGGATCGCATCCATCGGGACAGTTTGCAGTTATTTCGTAACTTCCGTTGTTTCTGTTTCTGCAGTGAGAATAAGTCGATACTCCTCGTTGGAAGTCGTATTGGAAGCGTGTTGCGAATATCGCTGTTTTTGTCTCATAACCTTGATGATAACATTTGCAAACTTCGGATCTGTCACTTGAGCAGGTATCACAAATTAATCTTGTGAAGTAGCTACTTCCTGTACCATGTTCTTGAAAGCAACCGCATCTGTCCGACGTGTCGATCTTCTGGAAAAACGTATAATTTGTCTCAAAACAGAAATGTGCGCACATTTCAAATGTGTAAGTGTTTGGTAATGTCTTCAAAATGTCATCTCGCTGATGTCTTTCAAAACTGGCATAGTCATCGTGCGTCTTTCGTGGCTTGCTTTTATAAACGGAATATGAGTCCCTTCCACCACAAGCATCTCTATTGGCGCAACGAACATCACACTGGGATGAAGCCACTGCCGAATCTAACCTTCCAATACAGTTGCATTCTTTTCCACTCTTCAAAGCGATCATATTGTTACTTTCATCTGTGCACTCCAGTGAACATTCATTCACTGAGCCAACTGATGCAACTGTCTTCGTTGAGCTGATGTTTCGATAGCATCCTATGTAAGATTCCTTCAAGTCGATTGCTGCATGGGCTATTGAGGACAGGTTGGTGGAAATAATTAAAAACAAACTGTATGAAAATATCGTTTGATTCATAAGCAATTTAATTTTAATAAATCATTCATTCAGTGTGCCGGATGTTTGTTTATTGTTGGTGAAATCCTCATTTAATCGTTGAACGTACGTTATTAAAAATATAAATGGTTTAAAAGTAAATAAAATAAATACATTAATAATATAAATGACTTTTAAAAATTTTCATTTTAATAAGAAAATTAATATAGTTAATAACAGTAGTAATAGGAAACATAATAAATTTAAAAAAAATCATACTCTCATGTAATATGTTCTCCATAAAGGAAGTTTAACGAAAACCGATTTTTCCCCCTCAGTAACGTTACAAAGGCTAAATGGAATCTAACTTAAAAAAAACGTAAAGAAAACAATCAACAGATATTAAACAATTGAAACATAATGATTTACACATAATGAATGGCAAAGAATTTCGTAAATTTTTAAACAACCTCTTTTATCGAAAGTGTTAACGTTTAATTTTGGACAATAGTCTTTCAGTTACATTAAATATTTTATATCTGTGAGAACATTCATGTTTTGTTTTCAACTTTGTGAATTTTACTTCATGCAGAAATTCATTTTGTCACTTCATATTTTACATTTTAATTTTAAGGGTGGCAGTACTTGTTGAGCTAGTTATATCTCGTTGCGGTCTCTCGCTTGTTTGGCAAAAAAACGAATAAATAATTGATACTAATAATAACAATTAATTAAAAAATTATAATAAGAGATAGAGATAGCAATATTCAACCTACTCCCACGTATCCACCATTTAAAATTAACATAAGATCATATTTTATACGGTTCTCTCAGTGAATCATCATTTGTGTTGTTTCTTGGCTATTCTGAAGTTAAAATTGGTGTTATAGTACGTTAATACGTTAATTTCTGTTAAAAAAAAAGTTGGTTGAATTGTTTTAGTTTATTCTGAGATTTTAATGTGATATATTTTATTTTGAAAATTTTCGCAATTTTGTCATTTATTGATAAATTAGTAAGAAATTTTAATAAGTAGCATCGTCACGTGGTTCACATGCATACAGCAATGTGCATACATAGTCTATTTATAAAGGACTTTATAAAGTATTGTTGTAGAATTTGTAAAGCGTTCCAAGTTTTGCACTTAGTTGTAACATAGCAGCGAGATGTGCGAAATCTAAATGTTTCAAAACACCTTAAGATAGTTCTCGATGTTTTCAACGTTTTCAGTGCGAAAAAAGCTTCCACATAAAATGTGTTGGCCCAAATGATGAAATAATAGCAGCAACTCTGTTTTAAATTTTGGTGTAAAGTTGTGTGAAGAGCTGCCATTGGATTCGAAGTCGCGTACCAGTCTGGGAATGTTTGAGGGAAGGGTTATTAAATTGCTGCTGGCTATTTATTTCGCGTAGTCAATTGATAGTGATTTCTTGTATAAATTTTGGTTTTCTTGTATTTAGCTGTCTTTTTTATTTTTTTTGTTTCTTTTTAGAAGTTTTTAAATTGTGTAAAACATCAGAACTTTCTTTTTCAAATGCCACTACTACTACTACCACCATTACTACTACTACTATTTCTACTACTTCTGCTGCTGCTAATTCTACTACTACCGTTTTGCTCTCTATACTGTTAACAGTTAATGATGTTTTATTACCGCTATTATTGATAATGTCTTTTTTTATAAAAATATTTATTATTATTGTTATTATAATTATGTTTATTATTATTATTATTATTAAAAATTTGAAACAAGGATTACTATCGTGTTCCTCAATTTTATTAGAATCCAGGTAAGAAATTTACACACAGCAAATTATAAACACAGCAAATTAACAAAATTTATGAACCATTTTGTTTTCATAAAATGTAGCACTAGCAAAATTTAAAATTTCTAATTTGATGTTTAACTGGCAGCTTAGTCACAAACCAGTATATCTTTAACCGCTGATAATTTAAAATGTCTTGACAGATATTTTCAACTGTTAAGTTTGGGATCTGGTTCGGATGAGCCTGCAGATGAGTCGGTTGTGGTTTTGCTTGCTTCATTTTTTTTTTTTCGCTTTTGCATAAAAAGTATACAGCAAGTTAGAAGAACAAGCAGCAGCAACAAGACTAACACACCTGATATGGCTTGACCCGTGGGTGAAGAGTCACCCAAAGGTTTAACTTTTTTTTTCTCAGTGGTTGGCAATTCATGGCAGTGGATGACAGTTGAAATTTCTTTTTTCTCTTCTGAGCACGGTTTCATTCCACACCTCCCGTTGAAAAGATCGCATCCAGCCTCGAATACTTCCAACTCAGCAAGTGCAGTGCTGGATCGATTCGAACGTGAGCTTTGATCGTTCATTTTTTCATCAGATGGTTGAATGAATACGAATCTTGTGAGGATAGTGAAGTTCTCACAAACGACAATCATAGGGTTTCCGCCCTGTATTGCTTTTTCTGGTCCGTACCCGCACAAGTTGACTTTGTCTCTGATGTCTTCTCTATTACTCACATCGAACGTTTCGTTCAACCTTACAACAAACTTGTCCATTCTTAATAACATTTCAGGCAATTGACTTATTCTGTTGTATGCTCTGATGAATCCTACGCAATATAAACTGAGCAGGTCGACCGCCATCCAGGCTGGCATGGCATCATCAAGGTGGGATATGCGGTAGCCGTCATAGTTGCCGTCTGTTAAATGTATTTTGTAATGTGAACATATTTCGGAGTTGTCGTGTTCAAAAAGGTGTGAACTGTAATAAGGAGGTTTATGCAATGCTAAGTTCTTCCTGAAAACCTCACATTGGTACCATTTGTTTCTGACCTTACCAGGGGGACAGACGCATTCAACGTACTTATTACCATTCACCGTGGACTCAATACATTCCATTTCAACGGGACAATCTCCTCCACCTGATGAGCAATCTCTTTCTCTGCATGAATCACCTCTCCATCCCGGATCGCATCCATCGGGACAGTTTGCAGTTATTTCGTAACTTTCATTTTTTCTGTTTCTGCAGTGAGAATAAGTCGATACTCCTCGCTGGAAGTCGTATTGGAAGCGTGTTGTGAATATCGCTGTTTTTGTCTCATAACCTTGATGATAACATTTGCAAACTTCGGATCTGTCACTTGAGCAGGTATCACAAATTAATCTTGTGAAGGAGCTGTTTCCTGTACCATGTTCTTGAAAGCAACCGCATCTGTTCGACGTGTCGATCTTCTGGAAAAACGTATAATTTGTCTCAAAACAGAAATGAGCGCACATTTCAAATGTGTAAGTGTTTGGTAATGTCTTCAAAATGACTATCTGTCTGACGTATTATAAGACTGGCATAGTCATCGTGCGTCTTTCGTGGCTTGCTTTTATAAACGGAATATGAGTCCCTTCCACCACAAGCATCTCTATTGGCGCAACGAACATTACACTGGGATGAAGCCACTGCTGAATCTAACCTTCCAATACAGTTGCATTCTTTTCCACTCTTCAAAGCGATCATATTGTTACTTTCATCTGTGCACTCCAGTGAACATTCATCCACTGAGCCAACTGATGCAACTGTTTTCGTTGAGCTGATGTTTCGATAGCATCCTATGTAAGATTCCTTCAAGTCGATTGCTGCATGGGCTACTGAGGACAGGTTGATGAAAATAATTAAAAACAAACTGTATGAAAATATCGTTTGATTCATAAGCAATTTAATTTTAATAAATCATTCATTCAGTGTGCCGGATGTTTGTTTATTGTTGGTGAAATCCTCATTTAATCGTTGAACGTACGTTATTAAAAATATAAATGGTTTAAAAGTAAATAAAATAAATACATTTATAATATAAATGACTTATAAACATTTTCAACCAATAAGAAAATTAATATAGTTAGTAACAGAAGTAGTCAGTAGTAATTGCAAGCATAATGAATTAAATCATTTTTATTACATTTTAATCCTGAACTATTCTTGATAGTGGTAGTATGTGCAGTATTAGTAACAGTTTTGGTCGAAGCAGTTGTAATAGTAGTGGTATTTTGAATTTGAATTGAATTCAAAAATAATTTATACTGCCAAAAGCACATGAGATCAAGATACATGTTAGTATGTGCAGACCACCTAAACTGACATACGTGCGAAGAAACATAATTAAAACAAAACATAAAGACTAATAAACAATAATGAAAGCAAACAAAACCCCAAAACCAAACAGAAAACCATTTCATGACGACCAAACAAAAGAAAAAGTCTCAATGGTTATTGAAATGATCTAACAATATGAGTCTATAAATCGATGCTTTGAATACACTGTAGAATGGTGAGTTTTTCACATTTGCAGGTAACTTATCCCAAAGACGCATTGAAAATGGTAGAGCACAATTAAGAAAAATGTTTGACCTAGGCGTAGAGAAGGAGGTAAAAATCTGGATTTCTACGGAAACGTTCACTTCTGGTATTTTTCAATGAAACAATTTTATTAAAAAGCTATTTACAATAATTTAGTTTATAACTTTTAAAAAATAATAGAAATAAATAAATATATCTATAATTGATTTATATTACAAATGTTCGCTAAACTGTAAAAAAGATGTGAAATGTTCAAATTTGCTTACATGAAATTAAATACGAAGAAAAAAATTCTGAGATAGTGTTAAAATATGAAAATTAGATTTAGGAGCTGAGCCGCAGACAGAAATTTATAAAGTAATATATGGTAAAACGAGAGAGTTGTTTAATGTGAACAAGATAAACCTAGGACCTTTAGACCTCAAACGATAGATAAGGCCCAAATTTTTAGCTAACTTGCTTGAAATGTGTTTAATGACAAATTAGATGAAATGAAAACACCTAAAATGTAAACTGAAGGGACCCTTTTGATAGCACCGTTATTTAAAGTTATGACAGGAAAAACAATATCAGTTTTAATCCAGGGACCAAATAAAATATAACATGTTTTGTGTCTAAGTTAATATGCAGATTATTAGAAACAGCCCGTTCATACACGAATTTCAATTCATCATTAATAACATTAGCCAAAATATCGATATCATAATGAGAGTAAAGAATGGTAGTATTATCGACAAAGAGAGCCAACTTTAAAATATTAGATGAATTAATGAAATAATTAATATATAAATTGAAAAGCAAAGGACCTAGAATAGAACCTTGAGGAACGCCAGATTTAATAGGAGACAAAAGAGGTTTAAAATTATTAGTAGAGACATATTGACGGTAGACGACATATATATCCGGAGTTTCTACATTTTTGTTATATTTTTTTGGCTATTTTATCTTTTCATCTTGTTATTTTTCATTATTATAGGTGTTTTTCTAATTAAATCTGAAAATTACTTGCCTCATCTAAAGAGAATCACAAAATATAGTTAGACAAAATACAGCTTGATTTATTTATCTAGGTGTATTGAGAAATTATTAGAAAATTTGATATGCTTTGTGTTTGATGTTGTTTGTGTGTGCGTGGGTTTGTTTGTGTGTGTGTTTGTGTATGTTTTTTGTATGTGTTTTTACCGACGTGTGTGTGTGCGTGCGTTGAGATAAACAAATGAAAATAGGAGGATTAAATTTTTTCAAAAAATTTAGCATTACCGATAATAAATAATAAAGCTAAAAAAAATGTGTTCTGTTTAATAAACACATTTTGTATAAAACACACCCACACACATACACACACATACACTCACCACACACACCACACACACATGCGCACGCGCATAATAATGCCACAAATAATAATTTAATAAACAATAATAATAATATAAAGAATAAATATAAAAATACACATAAATAAACTCATGATCCTTAAAACCTGATGTTAATGTCAATTTTTTCGGACAAAAAATAAAATAAAGCGCCTTTTTATGTGCAAATTTTTTAACTTTTTAACTAATAAACCTCCACAAAAATTTTCATTTTTAGAGGTTAAAATTTATCTTAATTTAATTCCGCAAGTTTGATTTTATTATTTATTATAATTCAATTCTGTACTACTACTAGCACCACTACCGCTGCCACTATTACTACTACTACTACTGCTGCTGCTGCTACTTCTACTACTACTACTGCTGCTGCTGCTACTTCTACTACTACCGTTTTACTCTATATATACTGTCAACATTCAATGATATTTTATAATTGCTATTATTATTAATTAATGCCCATGTTTATAATTACTATTTATTATTATTGTTGTTATTATTGTTATTATTATTATTATTATTATTATTAAGTAGTATTAGTAATAGTAGTCGTAGTCATAGTAGTAGTAGTAGTAGTAGTAGTAGTAGTAGTAGTAGTAGTAGTAGTAGTAGTAATAGTAGCAGCTGTAGTAGCAGCAGTATATGTATTGTTACTAACTATAAGGTAGTAAAAACTTTAATACACATGAAACCAGTACAATTAGATATATTCTACGATGACATACATACATTCAATGACGTCGATGTTGTGTTTTTGTCTGTTTTTTGTTATTATTATTATTATTGTTATTATAATTTATTTATATTTTTATCATTAAGAACAAAAATTGTTTGATGAAATAGTAACGCCTCGTTTTTATAATCTTTTAATCTTTTTATTATTTCACATAAAAATTATTTATAAATAAATTTTTATTTTGTCTTTTTGTTTCACATTTTTCTCTTTCTATCTTTCGGTTTCTTCTCCCTCTCTCTGCAAATGGGCAAGCGAACGAAAGAACAAGCAAATGAATGAATGAATGAACGACTGGATGAAATCATAAAAGACCACTCAACTCCGACCATTCATTCCATCACCCATCCATCTCTTGAATAATCATGAGTATGACGTTACTTCATGAATATTAATGAAGGTAACGTCACGCCATGAATATTAATAATACTAAAGTCGCTTCTGATTGAACTTTATTTTAGAAATAGCGAAAAACTTTTATTGAAATCACGGGAAAAATTGATAAAGACGGCGGGAAAATATTATCAAAGTGGAGGGAAAAAATTGTAAAGTAATCAAAAAATGGCGTTTCCTAGTAACAATTGAAATGACGTCAGCAAATTGATATGATTGGAGGAAAATGATGGCGTTTATAATGTTGCTTTATTCACTTTTAATGCCTTTAATTTTGTTTAGCGCGGTTTTATATGTTATTGTTTGTCCGTTCGTTCATTCGTTCGTTCGTTTGTTGGTTTGTCGTTACTATTGCCGTTGTTATTGCGTCATTATCATCGTCATCCCATCCGTCATCATAATCATCATCATTGCTGTCCTTAACACATTCATTAATCCCATCGCTACAATCATTATCACTGTCGTCATCATATCATCATCATCATCAAAATCGTCACCATCGTCATCGTCGTCGTCATCATCACAATCATCATCACCATCATCATCGTCACCACTATTTCTTAACCCAATTGGGACCTGATATTTATATCCAATGAGAAGAACTTGAGTGCAATGGCGAGAGGAGAGAGAGATTGAGAAAGAGAAAAATTGAGAGAGAGAGAGAAAGAGATTGAGAGAGAGATTGAGAGAGAGTAAAATAACAAAATAATCAAATTATCTGAAAAGCAGAAACAAGCATAAAACAAAAGAGGTATGAATGAGAAAGAGAAAGAGAGGGAGAGAGAGAAAGAGAGAGAGAGAGAGAGAGTAAGGGGAAAATGAGATAGCATAAAAGCGTAGAAAGAAAGAAAATAAAAAAGAGAAGGAAAAAAGAAAGGAAGAGAGAGAAAAAATTGAGAGAAAGTCTATTGACGTTGATGGCTTTGAAATTATTTGAAAATTTAGTAACATTTTAATCATACTTTGTGCTATTTATTATCGAATAAATGGCTTTTGTTTTATTATTACCTATGAATAGTTACTCTGTTATACAGTTAATGTTTATGTTCACATTAAATATTCATATATTTGTTAATGTATATGCCATAATTTTTATTTATATTATTATTTTTGTTCTTCTTATTTTTTTTTATTAATAATTTTTTTTCTTTTCTTTTGCGGTGTTCACTCTTGAATTTATCGTCGTAGTTGCTATCTTGACGTGAACACATTAGCCGGTATTCTATCGGTAATACGGTCTTTAGAATCGGTTAGAATCGGTTTGAATTGATGTTATTTTCTTTCGGTGTTAAGCGCCGACTTGTTAATGCCAAACCGTTGATGGCTTTATGTCTTTATAAGACGCATTGAAAACGTCATTGTTGCTTTCGCCGTGCCGTGCCGTGCTGATTTTGGGTGTTGTTGCGTATGTTTCTTTGTTTCAATTGGAGATATGAATCTTTAAAAAATAATATTTTATTAAAGGAAAAGGCGTTTGCATTGAAATGTCGGTAAAAATAGGATTTAATAATTTATTTAAAATTCATTTTCACGTAAAAAAATCATGAGATAAATATTCATAAGCGAGGTAAGTTTGAAGAATTATAAAACTTCATCTTCTTCTGACAATGTTGAACTTGTTACAAAAAGTCTTGCAATCTCTGGGTTTTTTATTCTCCTTTTAATGAAAGCAATCAAACATGAAGTCGGCAGAAGCAAGGCCACAGCCGACAACCAGCTGACAACTTGCCAGGCACGACCTGGGTTGGCAACTCGGCAGCAATTAAATTTTTGAGATCAGGACAAGTAGTATTCTTGTGACCATAAGCTGAATTTAAAAAATCTAAACTAACATTCAAGATCAACGGCTATCCAGACTGGCATAGAATCGTCAATGCGGGATATATGGAAGCCATCCTACCTGCCGTCCTACCTGCCGTCCGTATGATAGGATGAATGATCCTGAAGTCCTGAAGCTTCATGTCCTGAAGCCAGTGTGTGCTGTAATAAAGTGGTTTAGGCATCTTTCAAGTCTTCTCTATCTTTTTATAATTCTGTTATCTATCGACGTCTTCTCTCTCTCTCTCTCTCTCTCTCTCTCTCTCTCTCCCTCTATTTTTTAAATGAATTTTACTTGCTCGCTGAATCTCAAATAACATTATATTAATGTATTTATTTATTATTATTTATAAATTATTTATTTAAAAGCTCTGATAATGCAACCAGAGTAGTATTATAACTAGCAGTTTAAGAGCAGTAAGCAAGAAGAAAATAAAAATGGCGGTTGTAGAAGTAGCTGTAGAAACATGTAGAGTAGCATTATTTGTAGTATTTGTAATAGTATTTACATGGTAGAAATTGTAATTAACACAATTTTTCTTATTATTATTAAGTCGTATTTTCATAATTTTAATTTTGGCAAATACAGTAATCAATAAATTTATTTAATTCTCTAATAAACATACTTACATATTGGCAATTAATTAATTAATTAATTAATTTGTAATACATACAATACATTAATAAATAATCTCTGCTAATCTTAGATAATAAGCGATGGAAAATTCTACAAATAAAACGAATTAACCATTTGAAAAATAAAATATTTAAGAATCACAACCTAGCGAATGAAATAATATTTGCAAGTTACGATTAAAAAAACACTGTTAGGATGATGAAATTACCGACCACCTATCGAACAATATCGAAAATAGATCAAATTATTTTCAAAGTGGATGGATGGATTGGCTTTCTTTCGTTGTTGACCGATGGATAAATGGATGGATGGATAGATAGATAGATGGATAGATGGATGGATAGATAATTAGATAGATAAATGGATGGATAGATGGATGGATGGATAGATAGATTGATAAATCGATGGATTGAAAATGATTTATATCTTTTTTTTACTTTTGTCGTGGTCGGTTGACAACAAAGCCTTCATTTATTATCATCTTCGTCATCGCTAAATCATCTTCATTGCAGACATTTTCAACTTTTTTATCATTTGTTATCATCATTGTCAGCTTCATGTTATCATCATCTTCTCTATCATCGACATCGCTATTCAATGAACTATCTTATCATCATCACTATCGTCATTAGCATCATTTAATAGATTGAATATCATTGAAAAAAATCATTTCTAAACTACTGTTGTGTCGTCAACTAAAAATTTTGCAAAAAAAATTCATCATATTAATATATATATATATATAATTAGGTTAAGTACAATCTACTCATTCATAATCGCATATCTGATAACAACTAATCTCCAGTATCATTAGATCTAATATCACATCTGCATGATGACTATAGATAACTAGATATATATGTAATATATATATATATATACATATCCTCATTATTTTTCATTGTTACTGGCTTCAATCATCAATCAAAGACTAACATCTCGAAATAAGAGTATCATTGAATCGAAACTTTAAAAGCGATCATAATATCATGGTGACTGCCGCCATTATCTGAACCGTCATCATCATTATCGCCACATCATAATTCCATCTCATCATCTTCTTCACCATCAATACCTTATCACCACCATCATCATCACAGCGACAACATCATCGAAATCACCATCCTCTTCATCATCATCATCCTACTACTACTACTACTCCTCATCATCATCTTCTTCTTCATCCTCCTCCTCCTCATCCTCATCATCAGCATCATCCTACTACTACTACTACTACTCATCATCATCATCTTCTTCTTCATCATCTTCATTCTCCTCATCATCATCATCAAACTTCCTTGCAACATTCCGGGCACATGACGTTGCCCTCTTCGGTCATGAACCCCCGACCGTACAAACACGTACCACACTTGCTACACTTGAAGCAGTCTTTATGCCAGTGCTGCTGGTCGAACGCTATGAACGCCGCGTCATCAAGGCCTTGTGGTAGTAGTGGTAATGGTAGTAGTAGTAGTAGTAGTAGTAGTAGTAGTAGTAGTGGTGGTAGTGGTAATAGTAGTGGTTGTAGTAGTTGTAGTAGTAGTAGTAGTAGTGGTTGTTGTTGTAGTAGTAGTAGCGGTGGTGGTGGTTGTAGTAGTAGCAGTAATAGTTGTAGTTTGTTAAACTCTGCAACTAATAACTCGATTGAATTGAAGTTTTGAAACATGCGGTGAGATTGTGTAATGGTTGTTAAAGTCGCCTGATTTTTAAAATTTTAGTGCAGTGTTTGGGTTCTATTACATATAGATTTCCGCCTATCATACGCAATCAATCAATTAATCAATCAATCAATCAACCAGCCAATCAATCAACCAACCAATCAATCAACCAGCCAATCAATCAACCAGCCAATCAATCTACCAACCAATCAATCAAATCAATCAACCTATCAACAAACAAACCAACCAAGCAAGCAATCAACCAACCATTCAGTCAACTAATCACTCATTCAACCTGTTATAGGCTTCTTGCACTCCTTGCACTTCTTTGCGTAGAGCGCTCCATAGCACTCCACACAGAAAGGTCTTTGATCGATAGATGTATACCTTAATCATATTTTTTATTATTGTTATTATTATTAATATTGCAATATAAATAAGAATGATAATAATTATAATAATAATAGTTTTATTAATATTAATAATAACCTCTTGTTAGCGAGGGATTCTTTGCAGTGACTGCATTGGAAACAATCTCTATGCCAGGTTGTGTTTTTGTATATTATTCCGCCTCTTTTAACCATCTGAGTGATTGAAAGAGTGAATGAATAGATGGATGAATGAATGAATGAGTGAGTGAGTAAATGAATGAATGATCGAACAAATAAATAACAAGTTGGATCAAAGAATGAATAAATGAACTGACGAATGAATGAGTTACAGAAGATTACCGATTAAAATATAGCATGTATAGAGAAAGAGAGAGAGAGAAAGAGAGAGAGAGAGAGAGAGAGAGAGAGAGAGAGATTAAAAGAGAGGGAAAAAAAAGGAAGAAAAAACGAGAAAGAAAGAAGCCCAAACACATACAAACAAACAGACCTGCTGGCACCTGGGGCAGTTCTGACCTAACTGTTTTTCGTAGCAGGGCACGCAAACTATATCATCTGCCCTCGGCACGAAACTGTTGGTTCCTAAGTTAAGATGACGATGACGAAAACGATGAGGAAGAGAAAAAGGATGATAATGATGATGATTTTGATGTTGATGGTGATGTTGATGAGGACGATGATGGTAGTTGTGATGATGATGATGACGATTATGATGATGATCTTCACTCACCGATAAGTTTCTGGCAGACCTTGCAGCAGAAACATTCGGCATGCCACTGTCTTCCCTTGTATTCGTACTTCTTCATTCCTTCAATCAATCAGTCAGTTAGTTAGTCAATCAATCAATCAATCAATTGATAAATCAGTCAATCAATCAGTGAGTCAGTCAATCAATTGATTTGTTTTTATTGGAATGCATTTCATGATCATCAGGCCACTTAACAATTAATCAGCTATAATTTTATTCAGCCGATCAATCAGCAAATGATTGAATCAATCGTTCAACCAACCAGCAACCAACTAACCTGCTCTGAAAATATTTCCACAGAGCGTGCATCTTGCAGCAAATCTTACACATGAAAAAAAAATTTAACAAAAATTGAAATAATTTCAATGATTTGGCAATGAAACTTATTTCCAACATGACCTAATCATTTGGCTCAATTATCTGACCCAATTATCTGACCCAATTATCTGGCCTGACCCAGTTATCTGACCTATTTTCGTAGCAAGAGGCGCAGTAGAGTTGATGTTCTTTGTAGGCGAATGGTTTCTCGACCAATGAGGCCAGACAACCAGAGCAGCGGAAACATTTGTCGTGCCAGTGTTTGTTCTTACATGAGAGATCCTGATGACGATGATGATGGTGATGAAGATGATGATGACGACGACGATGGTGTGGTGATGAAGATGATGATGGTGATGATGATATTGAAAATGGTGGTGGTGATGGAAGTGACGATCATAACGACCAACCGGCATGCAGACAAAATCCTAAACAGCCATCCAAAAACTAAACAATCCACCCGGCAAACCCCCAAAAAACAGCCCAAGACCTTCAAAATCAACCCAATTCTTGAAAACCCCCCCAACAGCCACCAACCGAACCACCACCCAACGACCAAAAACCCACCTTAAATTCGCAAGTAATGGGAGTCTTACACTTAGAGCAGATATTGGCGAACAGCTTCTCGTAACACTTCTTACAGAATGATTTATCATCGTGTAGGATGTAACGGTGTCCACTCAGATTAACCTGGCAGTGATTGCACACGAACTGACCGCTTGCCCAGCCCAGTTCTAATGTCTTTATATAGTCCGTGGCAAGTAATATCTGTTTGGGTTATTATTATTATTCAATATATATATATATATATATATATAAATTATTATTATTATGAGTTATTATGGGTTGTTATTATTATTATTATCATTATTATTATTAACTCAACTTATATATATATATATATTTATTTATTTATTTATCATTGTATGTTTTTATGGTGAAAAATAAAAGATGTTCCCATTATTTTTATATATATATATATAATATTATTATTATTATTGTTGATGTTGTTGGTAGAGTTATTGTTCATGATGACGCTAATGTTGATGCTGTTGTTGTTGTAACTATTATTATTATTGTTATTATTATTATTATTATTATTATTATTATTATTACCCTATCCCCGGGCAGGCCAGTGGACGAGGAACGGCGTCTGCGATGCAGACCTGCGGCGATTAGTTGTATCATAGTAATAACAATAATAAAAACATTATTATTATTATTATTATTATTATTATCATTATTATTATTATTATTATTATTATTACTAGAAGTACTGCCATCACGACAACTGCACTACTACTACTATCACTACTACTACTTCTACTACTACCACTACTTACTACTACTACTACTACTACTACTACTACTACTACTACTACTACTACTACTACTACTACTACTACTACTACTACTACTACTTACTACTACTACTAGCTACTACTACTATTACTACTACTACTACTAATAATAATAATAATAATAATATTATTATTTGTACAAACTCATATCGGCGGAATCAGCCTCAAGTCTTCTGGCGTAGTGTCTACTCTCGCGTGTAAATGATGATGATGACGATGACGTAGTTGATGACGTCAGGTCAGATACTTCGAGTTTGGCTTCGGATAATAGGAATTTGTTGTTCTTATCATCGTACTTTTGTTTCTGGTATGATGATTGATGTTGTCGTTGTTGTTGTTGTTGTTGCGGGCCGTTCTTTGTTGTCGCTTGATGTTTTTGGTGTTGGTGAAAGTAGTTGCGTTCTTTAATGACGTCATTCTCGTCCTCGATTACGTCACAGTTGTTGTTGAAATCTTCGTCGTCGTTGTACTCTGTTAATTACGGAGTTGTTTATTTTAGGTCTTGTGAATTCAACTTCTAACGGTTTAAAAAGTTAGATTTATTTATTTATTCAATCATCATCATCATCATGAATAGCGTCATCAGCATCATCATAACACCAATAATCACCATCATCATAATCACTACTAACACCATCATCATCGCTACCACTATCGTCATCATCACTACCACCAACATCATCATCATCACTACCACCACCATCATCATCATCATCACGTCCACCTTGTTCGTGGTCAAGAGTTCCAAAATTTTGGCCATCTTCAACTACGCTGGCTTCCGACCAATTGTGAGATATGCTCGTCCTTCTATATCTGGTTGACGATGATGATGATGATGATGATGATTATAATGATGATCCTGATAATAATACTGTGGATGATGATGATGATGGTGATTATGATGATGATCCTGATAATAATACTGTTGATGATGATGGGAATGATGATGATGATGATGATGATGCTGATCATGATGGTCATGATAATAATACTGTTGGTGATGATGATAATGATGATGATGACGATGATGATGATGACGACGACGATAATGATGGTGATCCTGATAATAATACTGTTGATGATGATGATGACGATGATGATGATGGGGATGAGGAAGATGATAGTATATCACCTTCCAGGAGGAACAACTGAACGATCAGTGTATCCATCAAACTGTAAATAAAAAACATTAGCCAATCAATCAACCAACCAACCAATCAATCAACCAATCAATCAATCAATCAATCAATCAATTAATCAATCAACCAACCAATCAATTAACCAATCAGTCAGTCAGTCAATCAGCCAACCCATCAATTAATAAATCAATCAACCAACCAACCAGGCAGTCAGTCAATCAACAAACCAATTAGTCAATCAGTCAGTCAATCAATCAATTTATTAATTAAATCAACTCTTTCATTCTTTTTTAAATTACAACACAATTAACTTATTACTAATTACGGCTCAGTGATCAACAAAATCATTAATTTTCATTTATCAAATTACCACATTTCGCATAGAATTAATCCCATCAAACCATCCATTCATCCAATTCATTCAATAATTCATGCATTCATTCATTAATTCATCCATATTCTTCCATCCACTTTACATATCGTTCAGATATACGCGTCAGAAATTTTTGCCCATTGCGGTCAAATGCATTCGAAGTCAATCAGCACTGCTCATTTAGCGGGCACTTTACCACTACGCCAACAATATAAAATTAATTAGATACCAACAATTACTCAATTAATTAATTAATTAGTTTAATTAACCCTTCTTTTAATCCAATTATAAAGTCGACAGCAAGAGAATAGTATCTCCGTAGCGAGGACGAGGACGATGATGAGGATGACGATTATTAAGATTTGCAGGCTGTCAATCATTCTGTTGATGCTGTTGTTGATGTGTTGTTGTTGCTGTTGGTGTTGTTGTTGATGTGCTGTTGATGTTGTTGTTGTTGAAGTGTTGTTGATGCTGTTGTTGTTGTTGATGTTTTGTTGATGTGTTGTTGCTGCTGTTGTTGATGTTTTGTTGATGTGTTGTTGCTGCTGTTGGTGTTGTTGATGTTGTTGTTGATGTGTTGTTGTTGCTGTTGGTGTTGTTGATGTTGATGTTGTTGTTGAAGTGTTGTTGATGCTGTTGTTGTTGTTGATGTTTTGTTGATGTGTTGTTGCTGCTGTTGTTGATGTTTTGTTGATGTGTTGTTGCTGCTGTTGGTGTTGTTGATGTTGTTGTTGATGTGTTGTTGTTGCTGTTGGTGTTGTTGTTGATGTGTTTTTGTTGATGTGTTGTTGATGTTGTTGTTGGTGGTGTTGGTATTGATGTTGTTAATGTTGATGTGTTGTTGCTACTGATGTTGTTGTTGATGGGGATGTTGATGTGGTTGTTGATGTGTTTGTTGATGTGGTTTTGTTGTTGGTGATGTTATTGTTGCTGTTGATATTGTTGTTGTTGGTGGTGGTGATGTTGTTTATAATGTTGTTAATGATGTTGTTGTTGATGTTGTTGTTTATGTTGTTGTCATCTAGTGTATATTTTAAAGTAATTATTGTTATTTTATTATCAACGATTCTATCATTTTTCATCCTGAGCGTTTTCAATGTAGACACATATTTTCCATTATTTATTTTTTATTTATTAATCATTCTAAACAAAACACAAAAATCCAAGTGCATATCCAATTTAAAATTAAACAAATAAATAATTGAATGAAATGCTTCTGACCTTGCTTCACATTAGGCAGGTTAAACTCATCAACTAATTAACCGTTAATTAATTAATTAATTAATTAAACCATTAGTTAAGAAATAGAAAAAAATTGTAACCAGCAAGTTTACTGACAATCAAAACAACTTTAATAAAGATTTTGTAGCTTCAAGTTATAGTTCTACAGCAGAGGTACTCATGTACTTATGTTTCTTTAGCTAAGTACATCTGCACTTGAGTCTAATGTAACGTTAATTACAGTACAATTATAAGCCCAACAACGGTACTAGTTTCGTTTAATTATTATGCTTCTTTGTGTTACGTAAGAAAATTATTTGAAAGGTGAAAAGTTCTTCCACAAGGGTCTTGGTAAATTGTGGAAAAATTTCTCTATCTTCTGATCTATATTTCATTGATAATTATTATTCGATATTTTTTAAATTTAAAATTTTATGAAATGCTAAATTCGGCAAAATGGTAAAGTAAAAATGATGAAAGACGAATGGCAATGTTATTATACCAGTAGCAGTGTTATTAGTAGTAGTAGCAGTAGTAGTAGTATTAAAAGTAGTAGCTGTTGTAGTAGCAGCAGCAGTTGTAGTAGTAGCTATAGTAGTAATAGTAGAAGTAGTAGCTGTTGTAGTAGCAGCAGTAGTTGTAGTAGCAGTAGTAGCGGTAAAATTCGAATTGCAAAAAAAAAGTAAAATAGGTAATACTACTAATACTACTAATGAAGATGTTTGAAATACTTCAGCCCAACAGTAAACAACAACAACCTCAACAACATCATAATCTCCATCCGTATGCTATATTGGTTATAACAAACAAGTGAAGACGATGAAGAAGAAGATGGGGATGAAGAAGATGAGGATGAAGAAGATGAGGATGAAGAAGATGAGGATGAAAAAGATGATGATGAAGATGATGATTGCAGGGAGTATATATAATATATAAATGATAATAACGATGATTATAGTGATGACAATAATGATAATAAAAATGGAAAAATTATTTATAATATTATATGGAATGATGATGAAGATGACGATGATAAAATGCGGGTGACGACGATTATGCCGAAGATTACAAGAAATATATCTAAAGCATAACTTCCCTGAACTATAACCAAGAAATGTTTTTATGAAGGAAGATGTGGAGCAAGAAAAAGAGAGAGAGAGAGTAATAGGAAAAGAAAGAGAGATAGTGACTGATGATGGCGAGGGTTAGTTTAGCTGCTACACTGCATTTCTAAACAACGTAAGATTTCTTATTTAGGTACAGAAATGCTTAGAGTTAATATTGTAAAATTAATAAACATCAATTTGCACGTGTTGCGCGTGTTTACTTTTATACTGTAATAAAATCCTTTTTTTTTAGAAATTTCTCTGTAAGATGCAATTTGTGATGATGATGAATACAATGGTGATGAACAAAATTATGCAGCTGATGATGTTGGCGAAGACAGGGATTGGGTGTGATTAAACAACATCATCAACAACATCATCAACAACATCATCAACAACACATCAACAACAACAACATCCTCAACAACAATATCCTCAATTGCATTTGCAGTACATTAGAAATTGAAGGTAATTTTGAAAAAACATGCCCGTTAAACACACCTTCAAGAAACACAAAATGATGAACGATAGCAGATAGAGAGAAAACACGAGAAAGATTGACAGGGCGTGAAAAAAAGGGAAAGAAAAAAGAGAGGTGTGAGACAGAAAGAGACATAAAGAGAGAAATTGAGAATGAGAAAGAGACAAATAATACTAATCTTTATTTTATGACTGAAGATTTTACAATGCGATTCAGTTGCCCAGTTCTCTTGAAACGCAGTAAAATTGGTTAGCTTTCCATACTTTAAGATCATTGTTGTTGAGTTCTATGTTTGGGTCACTATACAATGAATGAATGATTTTGTAAGTTTACAATTCTGACGTAGCTCGATCTTCAAGTCGATTGGAAATTTTTTGAAGATGTCAGGTTTTATCGATTCGCATTTGAATAACATTGCGCATGTAAAGACAATGAATTTCGTAATTGAAAAATTCAAAACTAGGAGATGTTTCTACTCCTTATATTTGTACAAACACGAAAAATACAATATTTCATCTGAAGATTTCGACGCTTTCATTGAATCGATGGTGCTTTACGAAGATGACTATGAGGACGTCAAGTGGGGCACTCTCTTCCGATCATTATCCACTGAGCAGCTATACGATTTCATGGAAGCGATACAGAGTTATTATTTCTCGAAACTGCCAAAATCAGAGGGAATGGTTTCAGTTCAGTCCCACGCAGATGGCTACTTCAGAGGCTTCTTCATAATCAAAGACTGCTTCCACGTTTATAGTCCAGACTTCTGCAGATGGAAGCTACCATATCTTAAAGAAAAATTTTTAAACGAGGAGTGTGCCATTTGTTTGGCCGAATACTCGAAAGGAATGTTCCTCATGAAGCTGCCGTGTCGACACGCTTTTCACATCAGGTGCATCAAAACGTGGTTCCAGCGGAAATCCTGCTGCCCCTACTGCAAGCGATTTGTTAAAACCAAACTCAGCCACAAAGTGGTTGCCGATTTCGAAAGGAGAAAAATTTATATTACGATCTTTGCCGCTAATTAAATTTTGTGACGTCATATTATGTCTTTCGTTTTTATTCTAAATACATTATTGATTTATTTTCTTTTGTCTCATTCTGGTTACATGAGAACAACCTCTTGTGTAAGTATTAAAATTTTATTGACGTAATTTTTGGTGATCGTCCGGTTAAAGAAAGCCAGATAAAATATTCGATGTTGCTTTATTATGTTTCATTTTTTGAAACTTCGCTACTTAAGAACTCCTTGTAAAACTGTGGTTTTAACATTAGCGTATAGTTTTATTCAATTTTAGCACGTGGTTTTAATGTTAGCACGTGGTTTTAACTTTAGCACGTGGTTTTAACTTTAGCACGTGGTTTTAACTTTAGCACGTGGTTTTAACTTTAGCACGTGGTTTTAACTTTAGCACGTGGTTTTAACTTTAGCACGTGGTTTTAACTTTTTAACAATTCATAAATAATGATGATGGTAATTATGATGAAGAGGAAAACGACGATGATGAAAATCTTCGTAAAAAAAACACAACTGGCTCTTATATATCTTTTATCATTAATATTATTATCGTTGTTGTTGTTGTTGTTGTTATCAGGGTATTGTTGTTGTTGTTATTACAATTGTAGTTGTTATTGTTATCATTTTTCGTTTAATTTTTAAACGGCCTTTTTGAAATAACGACAGACGTTGTTTTTTAGAGATATTTATTGAGATGTTTTGGAATTTTTTATTATTATTGTTGTTGCTGTTTTTATTATTATTATTATTGTTGTTGTTGTTGTTGTTGTTGTTTCTCAGAACTTGAATTAGTTAAAGGTTAGATGCAAATCACAATTTTAAGCTTGAACGGGACCACATTGTTTCAAAATTTAATTTAATAAACAAAAAATAATAATGATGAATAACAATAATAATAACAACAATAATAGCAACAATAATAATAATACTAATAAGCTGAAAAAGGGGAAAAAATAAAGAAACAATTGTTGTGATGATCATCAAGGTTCCATCATACTTGCATGATTAACTTATGCACAGGCAAACACACACGCACACACACATTTATATATATATATATATATATATAGAAGGCTGACTAGAAGGCTTACGATGCATAAACAGAGTGGTGCTATCAAATCTCATTTGGACTCAACACACTCAATCACAATTAGCCGTGAAATCCTCTACAGCAACACCAAAGTAATATACCAGAACAGCAACTACACGCATCTTAAAATTGCAGAAGCAGTCCTAATCGACATCAATAAACCAAAAATAAATATACAACAAAAAATGACAACCTCACTTCCAACCGCCGGCTTAACCAACAACGAAAACAAAGAAGTAATAAAAACTAGCATCGTAAATAGTGACAAAGAAGAATATGATGCTATCGATGAAGAAAAGGAGACCAAAGAAGATGACCAGCCAATTAAGAAACCTGACACCTAATTCGCATCAAAGTTCAATTTTACAACACCAAAGTTAATTTTTACAACGTCAAAGTTAATCTTGACAAAGTCAATATTTCCCTATATATACAGCAAGGAGCACTGACGATGATTCATTCGGAATCGAAATATGGCCTTATTTGCAGCATGAATTCGAAAAATAAGTCTATTTTGAATTTTAATAAACCAAACGTTCACCAAAAAACTTTAGTGAGAAAAATCGAAAAAACGAACTACAAACATATTAACGCCAAACATTCGGTAGAATTTATAGAATATTGTAAAAATTATGGTCTATTACCAATATATATATATATATATACATGCACATACATACAATGTACGTCATACATACATACAAACAAACATACACAGAGACATACGTACACAAATACATACCCATGCATAATTCCGTTGGGTTAATATTTAGGTAGAAATCTTAAAGTTTGTACGTATATGTAAATAAACATATAAATAAATAGATATGTATATATGTGCGTGTGTGTGTGTGTGTTTGTGCGTGTATGTGTGCGTGTGATTTTTGTTGTTTAATATTCATCCACAAATATAATACAAATGAGTTTATAGACGAAAAATACACATTCTGTTACCTTTAAGTAAGGTAATATATATGCAATGTTTTGCAGTCAGTAAAGTATAAGTTTTATGTTATATATGCATATAAGTAAGCACACACGCGCGTGCACACACGCGCACACACACAAAGAAAATCTATTTTAAAACAAAATTTATGTCGTTCAAGCTATCTAAACCAGAGTTTGGCAAACTTTTTGTTGTAAGGACCGCATTAAAACTATCAATATTTTACCTTTGGAGGGCCGCATATGTTCATTTTTCGATCGTTGACCGGGGCGATTCGTGACCCTGGGTCATAATATCTGGCTGACGACCTTTTGGGGGTCATAATTTTTTGGGTCATTCTTTATTTTTTCAAGATGCGTATACAAGGCCTCACGGGCCTGCATAGAATGGCTTGGCTGACAGCGGGCTGTAGTTTGCCCACTCCTGATCTAAACTTTCGAACTAGTTCTTATTATCCAACCATCTTCTCATATTTTTTGTTATTTTCAACTTGTAAATGTTAATAAATTAACACATTTACATTCACACGCGCACACACACACACACATACACACATACATGCTGACACACACAAGCACACACACACACACAGACATGCTGACACACACAAACAAACACAAACACACACACACACACATGCAAACCCAAAAAGTTTTCAAAAATTTTAAATGGTTTTTCAAGTGCCTGGATTATTTATCACCAAGCGCCCGATATTAATACTAAACTAACTCTTGTATTGTATCGTAAGTTTTGCATTCAAAGTCTATATATATATTTATTTATTTTAAATTGGTTCTATATACATGTATAACTTTTATTGTCATTATTATTATTATAAGGCCACTTAATAAAATCAATTCATCAGTTTCGCTATCAAAATAAATTCATGTTAATGGCTATCCAAAATAGTAAGAGTACCACAAATGAATAAATATCTTTTAAAACCATGGGAGACAATGCGCGTGACATGTATACAAAAACACGAATTCGCCGATAACTTAATTAGAGTCATGCAGGGAATAAACCGTTTGGACGAGAGGTAGGCCAACTTTTTGCTGTGAGGGCCGCATTGAAAACTATTTTATCTTTATACATATGTACATTTCTCGAGCGTTTACTGGGCGAGCTTCTTTAAGATGTTTATTTGCGACTGAAGACTTTTTTTGGTCATTTCATTTTTCTTCAGTTTTCGCAACGCCTATGTGTACAAGGACTCGTTGGTCGCAGTTTTTGCCTACCCCTGGTCTAAACTCTAGACTTAAACTGTCAAGGTAACATTGTTTCTAATAAATTTCTCATAAAAAATTTGGAACAGCTGCGAATTTGAAAATTCAATCTATTGATCGCTTACTCTTTTTTTCATCTGAATGATCACATCTGTGTGTTTGTTTGGATGTATGTTTTAGTGTGTTTATGCTATCTGTGTTTGGATAAATGTATTTATGTGTCTATATGTGTACGTGCGTTTTGACATATGTATGTGTGTGAGTTTATGTAGGTTTGGTAAACTTTCCTTTCAAAGTTGACAATTGTAATACATGGACTTTGCATTTAAGGATTATAAGCACCTCAACTCAACATACGTTCAATTTAATTATTTCAACCTATGTATGTATGCGCGTGTGTGCGCGCATTTATATTTGTATATGTGTGTATATGTGTATGCGTGTGTATATGTGTATGCGTGTGTATATTATTCACGGTCGCATATTTAAATGGCTCGTTGATCAAATTTGATAACATATTTCTTATTACATACAGCTGGAAGGCTATTTTTTGAGAAATAATAGATAAAGAGGTAATTAATTTAATTTTTGGCAATTTTCAAGTAATAATTATAACAACAACAATAATAATAATCAGAGAGATGCTATTGATAAAAGGCGGGAAAGTAGTTAATGCCGATGAAACCTTCCAGGCAGATGTCTTCATTGAAGATGGAGTGATCAAGTTGTTAATTCATTCATTCATTCATTCGTTCACTCACTCATTCATTCATTCATTCGTTGACCTAGTCATTCATTCACTCATTCATTCATTCGTTCGTTCATCCATCCATCTGTTTATTCGTTTTGTGATTGACTGATTTTCGATTGTAAAGAGATTCCCTGCCATTACATACTTGCAATGTTTGTGATGGATGCATTGATTTACGTGTATTACAACGTAACAGTGAGGAACACTAAAACGAAAATTGTATAGAAAACTACTTGTATAGAATGCAAACTTGAAACCATTTTTCAAACAGGGCCATTGGGCATGACCTAGTGTGCCCCAGAGAAACGAGGGTAATTAATGCAGATGGTCTTCTGGTTATGCCAGGTTCGTGATCAACAATACGCCGGATACGAATATACAAAAAATACGAAATACAAAAATTACAAAATACAAATAATACAAAATACAAAAAATACCGCGCACTCCCCCTAAACAGGCGGCATAGATGCACACGTTCACATGCAAATGCCCATCTTCGACTCAGCTACCGTTGATGACTTTTACACTGGGACAAGGGCCGCCCTAGCCGGAGGCACCACTATGATTAGTTAGTGTGTGTGTGTACGTGTGTGTGTATGTGAGTGCGTGTGTGGTGTGTGAATTGCTGCAACTAAAAATGACATCAAAACCTGAGTCATTAAAAACCAAACTAGTTGACTTCGTGGTTCCAAAATTGGGAGAAAGTCTTCTGGCCGCCTACGACAGATGGCGTTCCTGGGCGGACGGAAAAGTTTGCTGCGACTACAGCCTCCATGTGGCAATCACGTGGTGGTCGGATGTCGTCAGGGAAGAGATGGGCGTTCTAACTAAAGAGAGGGGTTAAACTTTGCTATTATTACCTGTAATGAGCACTATTCTAGATAGTGAGATGAGCAAAATTTTATAAATCTTTTTTACTTTTTCAATCTTTTTTAATTTTCAAATTCTTTTCTTTTCAATCTAGGGGTGAATTCCTTCAAAACTTTCATGGCCTACAAAGGGTACTTAATGCTGAATGATCCAGAATTGTATGCCGTATTTTCCAGGTACACACTTTCGTTTTCAATTTTTAAATATAATTTCAAACAAATAACTAATTATTATTTCAAAAAACTAACTAATAAATAAGAAAATAGAAAAAATTAGTTAACTTATAAACAATTTCAGGTGCAAGGAGCTTGGTGCATTGGCAATGGTACATGCTGAGAATGGCAACTTCATTGAAGAGGTGTGCTGCAATTTTCTTAAAAATAAATTTATTTCTAACATCAAATTATAATATATCTATCTAAAATATTATGATATATTTATCTAAAATATTATGATCGGACATAATATTATGATTATACAGAATTAATTTTAATTAAATATCGTTCAAATGCACGATACCCTGGTTCAAACGCATTCAAAATCTCAAATCTCATAACCATATGATACAGAAAAGTAAGGAACTGCTTGAAATGGGCATCGTCGGACCAGAAGGTCATCTGATGAGCCGGCCTGAGGAAGTTTGTATCTAGTGGACAACTTATTAAACTGGTTTCATTGAACAAAACTTTTATTCTGATGTTAAAACAAGATTAATGAACAGTGAGATTAATAAACAGTTCAACCTAATTTAATGAGAAACTTTTTGATGAAAACGAAGATTGAGGGTGAGGCAACGAACAGGGCAGTGACCCTCGGTGGTCTGATCAACTGCCCAGTGTACATCGTGCACGTCATGAGCAGGAGTGCCGCTGACGTCATCGTTCAGGGGCTCAAGAGAGGTTGATGGTGACGATGTTTGGACGAAATGGAAAGAATGATGGAGTGAACAAATTTTGTGTGACTGAATGAATAATAATAAATAAGCGAATGCTAATTGAAAAATAGCGTGAGTAAATTTTATCGCAAATTCAGTTCGACGCATGCAACCAACACATGCAGGTGTTGTGGTTTATGGCGAGCCAATAGGGGCCTCTCTAGCTTTAACAGGGCACCATTGCTACCACGCTGATTGGCGACATGCGGCCGCCTACATCATGAGCCCTCCCATCAGAGAGGACCCTTCAACCCCCGCCTATCTCATGGATCTTCTGGCATGGTGTGAAAGTTTCATCCTGTTTTTTTTTGTAAAGAGTTCAATTTCATTCAATTATTAAAATTATACCTCCTAAAATGTCTGAATAGTTTTTATTCATTCACTATCTTAATTAATGTTAAATAACAGTTTTGTCAAAACTATTTTTAAATCATTACAAATCATTAGACACGGTTGTTAAACAACATTTTCCAACTTTTACACAATCAGCAACCTGCTACATACCACCGGTTCCGATCATTGTGCATGCAGCGTCAGCCAGAAAGCTCGAGGGTACAGCAACTTCACCCAGATGCCCAACGGGGTGACCGGGGTTGAGGAGCGAATGTCAATCGTCTGGCAGAAAGGCGTGGTTTGTACTGAGCTTGAATGTCTGTTCGAGCTCTTTCCACACGGTGTCAAAGAACGTTGTATTTATCAACTTGCTTGGGAATGTTTGCATATTTGTGAGACATCTTTGAAGATTGGAAAGAATAATATTAATAATTAATTAATTAATTAAATAATTAATAACAATAAAAATTTTGTAGCGAACAGGAAAACTAACCCCTAATCGTTTTGTGGAGGTGACAAGCACCACCAACGCAAAAATATTCAACGTCTACCCGAGGAAAGTGAGAATTAATTTAGCAGCTCAATTACTTTATTTACTTATTACGATGTTTTGTAAACGTAAACATGTGGAAATATAATTTTATTGATCTCCAGAATCTTTTAGCTCAATCGCAAACATAATTTGCAGTCATCTAATTTAACAGTGAAAATATTGTAATGTAAACGACTTAACAAAACCTCGAAAGGGCCGTGTATCTGTAGGTTCGGATGCCGACCTAGTTCTCTGGGACCCCAGCATGGTTCGTGTGCTGTCTGCGAAAACCCACCAAACTAGAGTGGAAATCAACGTATTTGAAGGAATTGAGTGTCACGGCGGGCCCAAGTATGTCATCGCCGGCGGAAAAGTTGTCGTTGATCCAGAGGGTGTAAGTTTCGGTTTCCGTTTCAATTTTTCCACTAATAACTTTTTACATTTCATAGATATTCATTTTGCGATAACAAACCAAGGTTCGTAAATTCACAATGTAAAAAAGTGATGAAGTGTAAATGAAGTAAGTCACATTTAAATTAATTGATTTAAAACACTTCAAGTTGCATGTGACAGCGGGTGCAGGAAGATTCGTTCCAAACGACTGTTTCTCTGACTTCGTTTATAACAGGATTGAAGAGCGAGAGAAGGTACGGTGCCTCAAACACTTGAAACATTTTGCATTAAAATCGTAACGAAACGTGCTTGTTTTAGAATTTTAATAAAAATATTAAATTTATTTTATTTTATAACAGTTGAAAGTTACGAAAGGTGTAGAAAGAAGTCCGCCACCAAAAACTGCATGATTGGAAATGAAATAAAATGATTAAATCTGGTTTAAATATTTTTTTGGGATACCGCAATGTTTAACTTTTTTCCATTCAAAAACCTGCCTAAAATGTTTAAAGAAGCTTTAAAAACATGATTGTCAGATTATGACGTCAGAAAGTTTACTTTTAAATAATTTAAATTTCATATTTTGAAAACGGCTTTGGTTTGTTCTTTTCTTTGAAAATGGAAAAAATAAAAATTTTATTGGTGATGTTTGCTTGTTTAGCACATTTGAAACAGTTTCGATTTGAAAAATCTTTACAATTTGAAAATCTCAACTATCATTTAGAATCAGATCTGTCGGTTAAGGATATCTTACAAAACATTTCAAGAAATACTGATAGTAATTTGCAATTGACTACTCATTCCTCGAAAACGAATTTTCTAGAAACCAAACTTAACATGAAAAGCAAAGACGAAAGAATCATAAACGTTACGTGCAATGACACCGGTGATAGTTCGAAACAGAATTCGCTTAATGTTAATAATGAGGATGATCGACAAACGAAAAGTGATGAGAAAAAGAAGAAATCTTTAGAAGAAGACGATGAAGACCCTGCTGTGTTTCCACTGCTTCCTCATGGCGAGTACGAGGAATATAACGAAGAACTTGAATACGTGGACCTGACTGAGGAACTCGTCAACGATGACCACCATGCCAGGATTCTTGAATACTATGAAGATCTGGAGAGGCAGCGAGAGAAAAAGGAACAACACCGGGAAAAGTTACGAAGGAAAAGATCGGTTAATGAGATTCCTGACAGTTTACATTTTTTGAATAAGTTGAAGAAAAAAACAAAATTTTCTAAATGGAGAAACTATGATGATTTTTGGGACCACTACAAAGTAATGAAAGACAAAATCGAAAACAGCCAAGAGGGGAAAGCCTTAAGAAAATATGTAGAAGCGGAAAAACAAATTATTAAGAAGAAAAAATTAGATCAGGAAAAACTTTTGAAGCGAGAAAAAAGAGGAAAACTACCAGTCACACTTCAGGACCTGAACGAACTCAACCAATTCCTCTTAACTGTACTCGAAACTGTGCGTAGTTGGCTCGTCTACGAAGAAAACGGAAAGGTTCCCAGACCTAAAATGGCATTGGAAACTCTTTTAAAAGTAAAATTAATTAATTAATTAATAAAAATAAAAACATAATTTAGAATCCCTTTTTTTCAATTACGTCAATGAGTCCTTCGTTTCGTGAACGCTCACGGTCCATATCTTATGAGCAGGCTAACATTCTGTTGTCCAATAAATTTCTTGATGATGGTTGTCAAATTACAAGACTATGATTGAAATTATTTGATTGATAAACCATTGAATTATTAATTCACTTTATTCTTTTTCACAATTTCTTTTTTCTACTTTTGACAATAGATGGAATAAATTTTTTCTGACAACTCAGGCGTTTCAATTATACTACGAATGCATGACAGAGAAGTTCAAGCATTATGAGAAGATGTTGGGTCAGCCGATGACCGATGTTGCTGCCTTCAACACTCTAAGTAGCGAAAAAGTTACTTTGGAGTGCAAAACATGGTAGGTGTCTTTTTCATATAATCGAAATTTGCAAAACGTAAAAAATATTTCTGTATCAAATTATTGAAATGGAGATGAATTTAAAAAGGAAGAACTCATTTTTAACAATTGAAAGTTTGCCCCCTTTCACGAACCCCTTTGAGTACGGCATCGCGTGGTACCGACGTTTGTTGCACGAAGGAGGGGCCTACAAGGCCCTGCCCAACGATGAAAATCAATTCTCAGTTACCCTAGATGGCGACCTCACCATGCACCAATTAACTCCGGAAGATGCAGGTTTCCATTTGATTTTTAATTCACAAATCATATATTAACTTTATTTATTGCTCTGAAACGAATTTAAAATTACGGTCTAGAGTTTTTCGCGGCAAGTTTTTTATTTGTCCTTGAATTAACAAATGAAATTTGAAGGCATGTACACGTGCTTCAACAACGAAGCCCACGGCATGACATACATGATAGGCATAGATGATGTTGAATCCAGAGTTAGGGTTAGTCGAATGAAATGACGATAACCATTGGACGAGGTTAAAGCAGTCAAACCTTATGTACTTAGCAAACGAACTTTCAAGGTATACGAACATGGCGATGGTGTTGCTCTGGCCTCGAAACCAGAGATCCTAGCCGAGTACAACTTGTACGTCTTCTACCAGTGGTCTACGTGGACGGCGTGCAACAGGTGCAATGGGCCCGGGTCTCGCAAGAGGGTTGGCACGTGCATGGTCAAGGTGGGTTTGTTCAGTTGGTCGGTTAGAGTTGAAGTTGCTTACATCGTAAAACATCATTAGATTTAATTTTATTATGAAATCTGTGAAATAACGATTTAATTAATTAAATTCCACACAGAAATTTGATCGTAACATCCCAACAAAACCGGTTGATTCGTCATCGTTGAGGAAGTACAAAGAGGGACTGCCGTGCGTGAGCCCCCTCCTTGCTTTTCCTTTATACGAGGCTGCCAATCTGAAGGAGAGGAAAACGGAGTTGATGGTATCGGTATGTTACAATGCCTGCGTCACTCAGCCGCCTGTCCGCGTCGTCACTGACGAGTGCGTTCATTTTAGCCTATTTGTTGTTTTTTTACGATCCGCATTTGAGGTTTTTATGGTATTTCCGCGATGAGATGACATGAAATAATTTCTCGTGGGCAGCGTTCAAACGTGGCCATGTTGTCTCCTCGCACGTTTGTCATCGTTTTTAGCGTCCAACATTATTGAACTGTTACAAATAACAAGCAACAAACTACCGACCAGGAATGGCAAGCAGCTGGATGTGGTAGCTTCGTTCAAAGGTCGTTCCTCATATTACGAAGGGGTGCCCAAGTTGGGAGTGCCCATTGAAAGATTGACGGCGTTTGCTGTTATGAACAAGAAATATGTACTGAAATGCCCGCAGTGCGCTTGGTTTTTGTAAAGTTTACAATCGATTTTTACATATTGAATTATTTCTTCAAATGAATAATTTTACCCTGTAAACTGTAGATAACGATTCATCTGAATACTGAATTGAAATTATTTTTCAGCCAGAACGCCTCCAAGCTGCCAATAAGATGGCAGAATGGAACATTTGTGTTGGAGGAGAGCAAGCTTGGCTACCTAACGAAGTTCAGAGTTAAAGTCAACCAGAGGAATGAACTTATAATTAACAGAGTGCTGAAATCCGACGAAGCATTTTTTAGGTATTCTATATAATTGATCGTTATTTATATGCGCGTCTAAGCCATCACTTGCACAGCTAGTATGCTACTTTACTCAGCGATTATACGTTTTTTCTCATTAAAATATTTGAATGAATTAAAATTCGAATAAAATTTTTTACGTGGTATAATTATAACTTACAAATTTGTTTACAATGTCAGTTGTTGGAACAACTTGCAACATTTCGGGACAATCCGGTTGTACGTGAGAGAGCAGATGAATTTCCGAAACGTGGTCCTCGATGCCATACGTCATATAAGCTTCATAGTTACTTTTGGAATGATGCTCTATATAGCATTCAAGTTGTACTTCATGGGCGCAAGAGCTCCTAAACAATATAAGTAGCAACAAATTAGGGAATGTACCATGGATTGGATATATATAATATTATATATTATATCCATGGAATGTACTATCAAATACGTCTAATGTAAATATATACTGTTGAATTTTTTAAATTACTGATGCGTTATATTCGTTATGAGTGTACGTACAGGTGTGTATGAAAGAATGATTCTTATAATTGCTATCTGTTTTAATTAAAACATTTCAAAATTTAATCGAAAAATGTGATCTGGTTAAAGAGCGCATTATCCATCGATGGAATTTTCGCTAAGCAAAAAAAAAAAACCTTTCGTTGCAGAAGTTCGCTTTTAATTTCGTTTTCGGTTTTGTTTACTTGACTTCGTTCGTTCGTGCAATTCTAAAAATAAATATACGCAATAGTGAATTGATTAGGGATCAGGTGAAAAATAAAAATGGAGGTCGTCGATGAAACTGAAGAACGCGTCTGCTTCGCTAGTCAGCCAAAATATTTCAACTGGGCCCTTTTCATCGGTTTGTTTGGCTGCTTGGATGTGGATGACTACACCTTTGTTTCTGTTTCTGTTTCTTTTTTTCTTTCAAAGTTCATTTTTAAAAATGAGATTTTGATTAATTAATTTATTTTTTAGTTTTATTTTACTTCTTACCTTACAGGCATATTCTCGTTTGGCATTGCGCTGTCTTTTTATTCAGGTTAGTTTTAATAAAATTTAAACTTTTTATTGTTATTTAAATATTTAATTAATGTTTTGCTTGTAAAACTAAAAAATAAGGTTTCAAATTCAGTTCTTATCTTGCTTTGTGTGCGGGTGTGTGTGTGGGTGCACGTGTGTTTGATGTATTATACACTTATTATATTTAAATTTTAAAACTATAGGCTTTCTTTGTATGTGTTTATAACTTTTTTTATAATATTTTTTGACTAAAAAACATTTATTTTCTTTACATACATAAAAAATGATTGCATATGTAAACAATAATAATAAATATAATGATATTAATAATTATTATTATTATAATTATTATTATAATTATTATTTTTATTATTATAATTATTATTATGTGTCTGTTCTGTATTTAGAGTCCTGCTTTTGGCAGATGATTTACGTGATAGGAAGTCTGGTGATTGCTTCGGCTTTCATTGACCATTGGCAGGTAGGTATTACAAAGACACGTGTTTGTAGAAATGTGTGCACTGAGTATTTGGATACGATGCGTGTACTGTGTGTGTGTGTGTGTGTGTTGCATATAGATGGTATGTGTGTATGTATGTAAGTGCGTGTGTGCGTGTGTGTGTGTGTGGGTGTGTTACACATATGTAAAACTGTTGTTTTGTGTGTGTTGTGTGTTTTGTTGTTTAGTAATTTAAAAGTTGTATGTTAATGGTTTTTTGATAGTTATGGTTAATAATTTTAGTAATTTTTTTTTAAATAATACTTTTATTCAAAATTTCTTTTATTCACATTCCACACAATTTAGGAACTAACATTAGACAGACCACTGGACCAGTTGTCCTATACAGTTCAGAATATCTATCAGAGGTTTTTGTTTAGAAACAAGCACACATTTATGGGTTTGTATGTGTGTAACTTTGTATTTGTGTGTTTGTGCCTGTGTGTTTGTGAGTGTGTGTGTGTGTGTGTGAGTGTGTGTGTGTGTGTATGTGTTTGATGTATTTTTTTTCATCAACAATGTTTGCATAGACCTGCCTGTGTAAACAAACAAATTTCAGTGCATACATTTGCATTTTTCTTTTTCTTCTTATTTTTATTATTATTTGTTTTTTTATATTGTTGTTATTATTATTACTATTATTGTTTTTGCTGTTATTTCTAGAGTTCTTGTATTCAAGCTGCATAAATTTTACTAACTTAATTGTAGTAAATAAATGGATAGATGTGGCAAAACTAAGATAGATTATGATTATTCTAATAATAATAATAATAATTTGCAAATAGAAACAGCAAAGTTGAGTGAGTTGAAGAAAGTTAAAGCCAACCAGCGCAATGGGACCATTACTTTCTACCACAACCACACCACAACTAAAGTTTTTGTTGGAAGTAGTTTCATGTATGTGACCTTACTGCCATCTGTTTTTTGTTTTGTTTGTTTGTTTGTTTGTTTGTGTGTTTGTTTGTTTGTTTGTTTGTATGTATGTTTGTTTGTCTGTTTGTTCATTCAAATGTTTTTGGTTTTACATATGTAGTTTATTTATTCATTAAAAACCACTTATACTTAACTAACTGATGTAATTTTTAATTGTGCGATTTTCAAACCGATCATATTTTGAATAAAATAAAATAAAATCCTCTCAGAACTATGCTACTGACATTGAATAGACTGAAAGAATTTCTAAAGAAATGCACAGCTGATAACACCATCCAGTTCGACTATAACATCCAGAGCATTAGCAGCAGCAGCAGTCCAGCCAACAACAGTGGAGATGACGACGGCGACGTTGGCGATGAAAGTGATTTGAACCACGCAGCAGCTAGCGACGCGCTAGACTCGGCGGGTGATTGCCGTCTTCGTCGGCACGAATATGACGAAGACATCAGCGATGACGACATCAGCGATGACTCGGGTGACGACGACGACGATGATGATCGCCCTAGTAGTGACGGTAAAGATGGTGATGAGGATGAAGAAGAAGTCGACGACGATGATGATGATGGAATTCGTCATAAAATTTCCGAAAGAGGTGACGAGAAGGTGGAAGGCAGTGGAAGCAGTGACTCAGATGGCAGTTTCGAGAAAGTTTCATGTGAAGATTTGCTGGCTGCTGAGGATGATGAAGCTACTACTGCTGCTGCTGCTGCTACTGTTGACGTATCCAGTAATCCTGAATGCTCCAACATAGATCAAACTGCTGACAAGAGCTCAACTAACAAGGACTGCAAGGCTGCTACTTCCGCTACTACTCCTACTACTTCTACTACTGCTACAACTACTACATCTACCACTACTACTTCTACCACAGGTAGCGGTGATGGTAGCGGCGGCCTTGAATTCAAACAGTCCAAAGGTGCCAAATTAGAAAACGAGTAAAAGATAGAGAGAGCGATGTTTTTGGACAGCTTGACGGTTTTAACCTTCATAACGTTTTATTTGATGTTGTGTTTGTTTCTGTTTTTTTCGTTCGTTCGTTCGTTCGTTAATGCCTTCCTCATTATAATATTTCGACCCTTTCTCTTGCTACTACTAACAAGCAGACAAGACAATATTTAGAGTGTGTGTAATTATGCGTTGTGTGTGTGTGCTTACTCACTCACACACACACCACACACACATACTCATGCACACACAAAAATATGTTATATATATTTGTGCTGTTTGGGTTTTCTTATCTGTAATATAATTGACCTGCATTTTAGTATGCTGCTATTGCTATTGTTCATTTCATTCATTAGTTTATGAGTTTAGAATTTATCATTCATTTCAGATTCGCATGTGGTTTTAAGTTTTATGAAATGTATATATATTGTATGTAATATATGAAATAACATGAGAATGTATGTGTGTGATTGTTTGTGCGTGCGTGTGTGTGTTTTTATTGTGGGCAAATGCGGTTTCAATTTGATTGAAATTACATTTTAGATGATTTTTAAGAGTTTTTTTGTGAGTTCAAGTTGTTCAAATTGACCAAAGAAAAAAACTAAAATCTAGTGTTGAGGACTCGAATGTTCCGGGTTTAAAACCTGCCCGGGTCCCAACACCATCTCATTATATACCTTATATAATAATGATGATGGCCCAGTCGAGTAGTATGAAAAATTAACCTTGAAATGAAGGCCTGCATTAATGTGCAAATGCCAACATATGCTTTGGAATGAATAAAATGATACGATCTGCTTTAAATTCAACTAAATAGTAGCTTTTTATCCAGTCTATTTACTATGCAATATATACAGGACTCTCGGCTCCCGTTCATTTGTTCATGCTTCTTTCGTTTTGATGTTTAACCACATACACACGCGCACAGAAGCACACACTCATTTATATACTGTTTGTGTCTGTGTGTTTATTTAATTCTTATACAGAGGGTTGTTGAGCTTTTAGTTTTATTTTTTATAGTATATCACATTTCCTTTTATTTCGTTGAATTGTATAACAAATGAACTAACTCGCAACTTCTTGTTGGAACAGTTTTCGCCTGTTCGTTTGCTGGTTTCTCGGCGCTTCGACCTTAATGAAGCGTTATAAGGACGATTTCACTATGAAATATTTTTAATCGATTTGTAACTCTTTCCACTCTTTGTTTTATCGTTTTAACTATACATGTATTATAATATAACGTATTTACACACCACAAAAACACACACACACATATATATATTTATATAAAAACTCATTTGAAAACTCATTTAAAACTGCATATCAGATAGTCTCAACCCAATATATTTATATATATATATATATTGGGTTGAGACTATCTGATATGCAGTTTTAAAATATCACAGCATTGCATGCGTTGTTCAATTTTCAAATGAGTTTTTATAAGTTTAGTACGACGAACTTCAGTTCGTTATCAGGTTTGTGCAGTTCATAAACAAAACTGTATGAAATGCTGTGGTGCATATATATATATATATATATACATATACACATTATATATATATATATATATATATATATATTATATACCAATCACTTATGTTTTGTTATTTTTCTTGAAATAAACTGTTCCCAGTTATCGTTCCTGTCTTGTGAATGAGTCAAATGTGCTAAGCGTGAATGAGTTATTAATTTGGAACAGAAAAAAATGTATTTAACTTGTTAAAGTTAAAATATTTATGACAACGTGGATACGTCACATTTAAACAATCAAATAAGACCAGATAATTCAGCAACAATTTCACCAAAGTTAGTTTTATCCAAATAACTCCCTCAATGGAGCTCACGAATGACGTCATAATCGAATTTTTCTCGGAGACTGGGAAAAATTACGTCATAAGCATTATAATTGCCTGTAAATAATCTAATCTCATTGTTTTTTCAACCTGTATTTTACATCTACTAGACGATAGGTAAGAATTGAACTATAAAACTCGAACTTTTGTAAAATAACTTAAGTAGAACAACAAGAAAAAGATTTTATTTAGCATAATTTCAGAACAGTTTAACGCAATCAAATCAAATAATTACAAACAGAAGACTTTTCTTTACATGATTTCACGCCCATTTTCCTTACACGCACACACACATATATATATATATATATGTATAATATACCAAATATAAATAATACACATTCACCAATCCATACCGCAATACATACAAATCCTAAATACATATACAACATTTTTTGCAATAAACAACATGATCGTATATATAGTATATATATATATATATATATATATATATATATATATACGAATATATATATATATATACTAAAACTTGAAAAATCGAATGTAATCATATAAACCAGAGACAGAAGAACATCATCAACTTCCATCTTAACCACCAACACACATACACACACGCATACATACTTATACACACACACATATCTGCATACATACGTACACACAAACAAACATATACGTACAAACACATGTAAACATGTATACATACATACACAGATACAATATTTGAATACATATGCGTAATACCTAAAACAAACATCTATATATAGATACCTAAATACCACAAACCAAAAAATATAGTTAATTAAAATCGAATAACTCTAAAGAGGGAAAAAGAAAAATAACATTGTCAAAATTTAAAATAATAGAACTAAAAAAATTAAAACACCTACAAAAAAAATATCATCTTTTTCACTTTCAGTTTCACTTTTTCAGTTTTGTAAATTTTTTTTACAGTTTTCAAACTTTTAATTTGAAACAATAAAAACAATGCTAAATGAAATTTCAATGTAAGTGTATGATATGGAACCTCGAAATAATAATAATATTATTTATAATTATTATTATAGTAGTAATTATAGTACGTATATCTATATATATATCTTTATATCTGTATATATATTTATATAAATCTTTCTCTCTTTCTCTCTCTCTCTTACTTTCTCTATCTGGTAACACAAATATTTAAATATTTTCAAAGTCTAAGAAAATTTCAAAGATGTCACTAAAATATTTTAAAATTGTCAATTTAAAAAATATTTATACAAAAAATAGAATAAAATTGAAAAACATTGTCAGCTAAATATTATACGTATATCGTTTATAAAACTCCATTAAAAATTCGAATAAATTGTATATATTATCATAATATATCTTGAAAATCTAAGCTTCATTTTAATCATTTAGTCTGCTCTGGTTTATCGCTACTGCTGCTACTAATTAATGACTCTTGTTGTAGCTGGGGACATGTCTTGCAATCTGAGTTCGTTGAGCAACAATACGAGCAGACGAGACATTGGTTGCACGATAGCAGGGAGAGTTTGCCAGTGGCAGGGGTAACTTTCTTCTGGCATATCCTACAATGTTTCTTTAACATCTGCAGTGGAGTAGTTTGATTTTTTTTAGTATTTTTATGTAAAATTTTTATTTAATTTCATAATTCATATAAATATAGTTTAAAAATTAGCACCATAAGATGAAAAAAAACAAACAAATGCTTACCTCTTCAATAGAGTTCAATTCATTCTTCAGCAAGTCTCTCTTCTGTTGCAACTTTGTAAAATCTTTTTCCACACTCAACTGTTGTTGTTGTTGCTGCTGCTGCGACGTGCTGCCGTCGTCGTTGCCACCGCTGCTGCAACAACCAGATACGTGCAGCTGCTGCTGCTGCTGTGGCTGGTGTTGCTGTTCAAAGTTAGCGGTCGTTGGTTTTGATTTTCTGACAGAATCTAGCTCAGTTGTTAACTTTGCAACTGTTGCAACAGCCTGTTTGATGAATGAATGAGGGTTTTGGATCTGTTGAATAAATGCTTGTTTGATTGGTTGGTGGGTTGCCTGATTTGTTGACTCGTCGACTGAATGATTAGTCGAATGAGTTAAATCAAAAGATGAAAGAAAAATGAAACAATAGATAATCTAAAAAATGAATAAAACTGTTGTTGATGTGCAAATGAATGCCCACTGACGTCATCCCTCTGTTTACTGATGATGACGTTCTCATCTTCCAGAATCTTCTTCTGTTTCTTGATGTCATCAACCTCCTTCATCCAAGCAGTGCAGGCCTGCATGTGGTGCACGCACGTCACAATCAGGGCAACCAGGATCGTCGTGTAATATACAGTGGCACATCATCCTCGTCGTCAGTCATTATCACAAGTACCAACATCACGTCAGCCATCAGTCAGCGAATCATACGCCCGGACCAACCAATCAATCAAACAAACAACCAATCATCAATCAATTAACCGACCGGCCAACCAACTGACCACACGAGCCTGTTGAACACTCTCCTCCCACTTGGCCATCTTCAACTTGGACATTTTTAACTCCTCCTTTATCTTCTCAAACTCCTGACTACTCCTGCCCAGAGAAAGATTGCTCATGCCCTGTGAGAGAGGGAGAGATGAACTGGGGAAGAGAGAGGAAGTCGAAGATGATTGGTTGTTGCAGTTCATGCTGGCCTGCTGTGATTGGTAGTTCTGTAATGTGGCCAGTTCACTGATCAGCTGTGACGTCATCGACTGTTGTTGTTGTTGCTGCTGAAATTGATGAATAAATTAGCCAAAACAATCAATTATCTAATTATTCAAATATATCAATTGATCAATTATTAATTCACTTTCCAAGTTTAAATAAAAAACAATGAAGGTACTCAAAAAAGAACCTTAGAGAGCAGCAACTGAGCGGCATGTTCGGAACCAATAGGTGCCAAAGAAGTGTAGCTCCTACCAAACAACATGAAACTATTCTCAGCGTTGTTGCTGTTGTAGCTACCAACAAAATCTTTCTGCTGCTGCTGTTGTTTGAGTTGTTGTTGCTGTTGACGATGCTGTTGTGTAACATTCGATCCCATAGATGAGGTCGGGATTGACATGGGTCTCGATCCCATTCCGCCAAAGTAGCCCCCTGTGAGTGCATGTTTAGTGCCCACACGAATAATATCAAATAAATATAGAATGATAATAACATCAGTTATGACAAACACACACACGAACAGACGCGCGCGCACACACACACACACACACATACAAACACACAACCAACCAACCAAAAGATGGAAAACTGGTACTAAGAGAGCTACACAGAGAATCACTTTCCTCTCTGTCATATCCAGATAGATTGAGATCTCCACCGACAAACTCTTCATCTAGGGCATTCACTGTTTCAAATTTGTTTGTGTGTGCATGTATGTGCCTCTGTGTATTATAATATTATTATTATTATTATTATCAAAAGATTTATCTAGCGCTATTTAATTAAAATTCAAAAGCGCCATCAAAAAATAAAATAACACAAAATTAAACATAAAATTAAGCATATCCTCACTAAAATAAAGTTAAACGTAGAAATAATTGTCTGGCTGCGAAAAAATTGTGTATGTGTGTGTATATATGTGTATGTGTGTGTGTATATGTGTATGTGTGTGTATAGGCGTGAATGTGAGTCTTTATCCATCTCTACATCCTCCAAACCAACCAATAACAGATTCAACGGTTTCCTCTCCTGGATAGAATGATGGGAAAGAGAGCTTGGGACTAAGGATGTTGCCAGTTCCAGGATTCGTCGTATTCATCATCATTGAGGAGTTGTTGCTGCTTGGAAACAACTGATTCAAATTTTCTTTCGTTATGTCGTATGGATATTTCATTGCCTGCATGATTGCATGTTTGTTTGTATGTATGTATGTACGTATGTTTGTTTGTTTGTTTGTACGTACGTTTGTTTGTTTGTATGTCTGTTTGTTTGTTGGGTATTTGTGTGTGTGTGAGGATTATGCAACCAATAAGACAAATGTTGTAATCTATATTCTAATATATGCCATACAATTCTCAATTGTAATCTATATTCTAATATATGCCATACAATTCTCAATTCAGGAGTTCTTGCATGGGATTGCATGCAATATTAAAGCACTAAAGTCCATATACATTCTGTTATATCATGTTAGAAAACCAAAGTGTTGCACCGCAAGTGTACAAAACAAATACATCATCAACGACGTATCCTGACACAATGTGATCATGACACAACTTAGTGGGACAGAACATGACATGACTTACGTGCTTCTCGTGCAAGGTACTGAGGCCCCTATGTGGCCCTAATGTACCCTCGCTGAGACTCACCGTCCTGCGTTTACCTGTGGTGGTGGCGGTCGTGAGAATTTTAGGGGAAAGATTATAGGACACACTTGAATACTGAATTTGCATTGATTTTCATTTTATGGGTACTTCTATATGGGTATTTTGTTAGAAACATGCATCATAGGTATTCCTACTACAATAGTGGTCAAGTTGATGATAGAGTTAATGATGATGAGGATAGTGATAACAATGATAATGAAAAAGAAGCTAATGATGATGATGATGATGATGATTAAAAAGTGATGATGATAATGAGTCTTCAATACTCACCGATGGGTTCTGAGTTACTCATCGAAGAGTGTGGTACAAGGGAGAGAGGAGGTGGTGATGATGATGATGCCACAGAGTCTTCCGGCAACATTATACTCATCAGCTGATAATGGTGTTAGTGGCGGCATTAGGATGGTGATGGTGATGACGTTTTATATGATGACCTTTACAACATTCCAAGAACAAATTACCATTACTAAATTAATAAATCAACATCATAATTTAAAAAAGCAATAAATAATAATAATAATTAATATAATGACCAACAAACAAATGAATAAAAATAAAATAATACATGAGATTCAGCTGGTAACGAAGACTTCCTCAGGCCATTGCAGATGTCGCTGTTCGATTCCATCTTCATGGTTTTCGTAATTGGCGTGGCTGTAGGCAGGGGCAAGACTGCCTCAACGAAATCTGATAGGCTGGCCTCGGAACCAATCATCGTGTCCCATGGTTCATTGAGCTCTTCTATTGGATGGTTTTAAAATGAATGTTGATTGATCAACTTATTTCTGTATTAGATATTAACAAATGAAAACCAAACATTATATAACTGATTTTACAACAGAAACTTTGCTTAAAATAATATTAATAACAATATTTACTTTAAATACAACATATGTGTAATGTTAGCAACAGAAATAGCAGAAATACAAATATTAACTAAAACAGCAAATATTTAAAACTCAATTGCCAAAATGAAATTCACTCAACCAACAGGATAAAGTTGCATAGAATGTGTAACTGTAATAGACACGCCAACTTACTCTCAAGATGAGCAAATGCACAGAACTGGCCCCTAGGGCAGTACCCGGTCTGTATCATGTCATTGCACTTTGAACTTTTGTATATCTGTGCGTGTGTATGAGTGTATGTTTGTGTATGCGTGTATGTTTGTGTACACATATCCAGCATAAAAATGAAACAAAAAATGCAAAACATGATAAAAAATAAAATATCAACAAAACAAGCTAACAACATAGACAAACAAACACAGACAAAAGCAATGCACCTCAGGATGAAATTGTTGTTCAGTTCTGGTGTGGCAGTAGGAGCACTTGTCGCCGACATCACACAGAGGCGGATCGCCCCACTCATCACCCCTCTTGACACTGGGGCATGGGGTTGACCTGGTTTTTTTTAAATTAAATCAATGCCATTTATTACAATGAGGTTAATTTATCATAACAGGGTCAACGTAACATTCAACTTTTTGATTAAAAATTGAACCGACCTATATTTGAATGTTTTAGGGCTCCTACGCTTGTCTCGAGGATTGTGATAGGAGGGGCAAGCATACCCCTGGCGACATAACCGATGAGGTCGTTTGCACTGCTCAGTCTTGTAATTTATTAAGACATAGTGGGGATCTGCGTGTAGTGTGGATAAATGTTTTTTTGTATTCATAATTCTAAATGTGTTTTAACGAACAAATTAAATTTGACAAATAATTCAATTAAATAATTCCATCAAGAAATAAAATAAAGTCTTCATACGACAAAATTTACTAATTTGACTAACCATTCCAAGCAGGGTCTTCATTATAAAAGATATCCTTTTCAAGATGGGCAGCAAGTAAGTTAGTTGAACCTTCCCCATTCAAATTATCATCCTCACTAGCATCAAAAACTGGCATCCTCAAGTCATCAGGGCCGTGTGCATAGGCACAGTGGGGTCCATTCTTCACGCAGTGGCCCTTGGCATCGGTTTCATGCACACACATGCATGTTTTGAAATATCTAGGGTGGTATCGGCGTTCAACATCGCCCGCAACTCTGTGTAGTAATGGGCAGCTGGGAAATGGTTTAAAAATCTTTGTGTGTATAAAATTATAAAAAAAAAAAAAAACTTAGAATACAAAATATATCATTGAAAAATCATTTCTAATATGACTATAGAAAAAAATTTACCTATAACTTATTATACAAAATATTTTTGCTATAAAAGCTACCAATTTTTAAATGTTAATTAATTTAATAATTAAAATTTAATTTCTTTATATTTCTGTTATATAAAAAAAGAACTAACTCATCTCCGGCGGGACAGATACCAGTTGTTTCATCATAAACAGAGCAATAAACATCGGGACTGTAATTAAATTTTCCGTCACCTTTTTTGAAAGGTCTCCTGCGCTTCTGGTTGACAAAGTGCCAACTGAAGCAATTGTATGGTCGGTGGTGGGAGCATTTATGTTGAAGGAAATCTGGGCACTGCTGGGTTCTAAAGTCTTTCAAATATCTAATTTATGAATAAATTATGATAAATACGCTAACAAGAGCGATGAATCACTTAGACAAAGAATCAGATTAGAAAAAATATTTGTATGTAAACAATCAACTCAGTCAAAAATAACAGCGTAATTTATTAGTTAGCAAGTGACACCAAACGATGAAAGTGATTTCGACCTCAAAACATTTAAATGGAATTAGATCTAAAAATCGATCAAAATAAAAATTAAAACTTTCCAACAAAAAAGCAGAAACATCTTACATAAAATGGGAAGACTTCTCCGACACTTCGCCCGGCATTTTGTATCACGTGACTATTGTTTACTGCTAATTATTCGTGTTGCCAGTTTAATTAACTTAGAAATGCTTCCGATGCAGCAATTATAGGCCAGATCAGAGCTGTCAATCAAACACCGAACCACCTAATCTAACCAGTTTATCAAATTTTTTCAATCTTATTCTATTTTATTTCACTTATCCTGCCAGAAGACATATCAAACATATATATTTATATATATATATATATATATTTACATAATAATACATAATAAATAATATATAAATAATATATATATACAAAGTTCAATCAGTTAACCAAAACTTGTCAACCAAACAATCATCGCAACAACTAGATGAAATACAAAGAAATTCATTTCTAGTAACTAAATATAAATTTTTTATTTCAAACTAATTCTTTACAAACTTGTTCTTTGTGGTGAAAATAGTTCAAACCTTA